ACTAGAGAATACTACTTATTTTTGAGACTATCAGTAGTGCTTGAATATTAGGCGTGGTCAATTCCATTTTGAGGCAAATTCATCTGATTATGTCGGGACACTTAACTAAAACTCCTCTTCTCACCGTAGGCAATCTGGGCTAACTAGACCCCTATTCAAATTGGGATTTGACATTGCATTAGTGTATACTACTCATTTTGCTATCAGTAGGCTTTTTAAATTATTCTAACTCCTTTGGTTAGGCCTAGATCAAACTTGATGGTCTCAGATTTCCGCCATTTGTCTGCTCGCCTCGGCAAAGTCGACTCAGCAAGGATGTTCCGCTGCACTCAACCCGCTTCTACGATAGCGGAAGAGCGAAGACAGAGGCGAATACATCTTGCCCTGTGTGTCGCCATGGCGACCGGACTCCGCCGCCGGTCTGCCCTACAGACAGAAGAAGGCCAATTAGGCGAGTCTATTTGGCCAGAATTGGTTCCCTGTTACGAGGCCCTGCGGCAAGGCTGGTGGTCGACAGGGACGATTCGAGGTGGCGTGGTGGCTGTACTTTTGATGAATTGGCGCGGCTGCGAGTCCCGCCTTTCGTCCGCGTACCCTCGGCACCGTTGCAGGCTGGCGAAAAGTGCACAATCCGTTCGCTGTTGCCACCTGATAAGTTTTCGTTTCTCATTCCTCCCTCTACGACCTTGCGCCTAGCGACCGGTTTACACGTACGGGTACAGTCGAGTGGGGACAAGCGAGTTGGAAATCGATTCATATAAATACATTTTTCCAATTTTTCGCCTGTATCCACATCAATTCGCTCTAATCTATTGTCGGCTGGGTGGCTGGCCCGAGCAGTCTGTCCGGTGGCACCTCATCGGCCCTCCCCCTCCACACCAATCTGCTGTACCAAAAAGGACCGACATCGGCCCTACCCCACGAACATCCATCGCAACCGCGGTTCATTGGTCTCCATCACCCTCGTCACGACGATTTGTTTGCGGTTCGATTGGATATAACAGCGGTACCGTAAACTAGATCATACCCCTCTTCCCACTGTCACACACACACATACACATACACACCAACAAAACCCCAGAGGCGGGCTGAACTCGATCGCGAATCCCAAACCTGGGACGCGTCTGCCGAACAAAATTTCAACCTCGCCTGAGTCCGAGCAGCCGCCCTCAAAACTTCCGCCAACCGGCACTGGCTTGGCCCCTCCTCGTTTCCGGATCGCCGATGGTGACGGTCCGTCTCGAGTGCCTTCAACTCAATCTGGCCTACGCGACGAACACGAAAGCAGAAGGAGCGAGAGACGAAGAGACAAAGAGAGAAGAAGATAAAGAGTGAGCGATAAAAAGCGATCTCATTCAGTCTCTCAGTCGTAGAAGCTGGTGTGTGTGTGTGTGTGTGTACGTGTGCACATCGTAGCTCCATTCTAGGCTCAACCCCTCAAGGTGCTCTCTCGTGGATGTCTAGTGCTGTAACTCATTCTGCGAGGTTTCGGACCTCTTTGGTATAGTTTACGACAAACTTGAGTCATTCCGGCCTGTTTGAGAAAATCCGTCGCAGGGTACTTAATCGGCTTACTTGACTTGATGTGATGTAGGAATGTATGGATGAGTTTTCCCATAAAATCGGATAATCACACTAAAATATGCCATCCAAGTTCACATTTTGCCTTACCTCCGGGAATGGAATGCATTTTAGAACTCGCTTCACTGTTGCATCATTCAAGAATTACTGATAGTCTCAAAAACTACTCACATTAATAATAAGTAATGTCGTCAGGAACAATAGCAAACAACATGTTGTTTCAACGGCAGCTCCATTTACCATATCCTTCTTGTGAATGCACAGTGAAATGGTTATGATAATGGTTAGTAACTAAGAGTTTTGAAATCTCCTTTTAATGAGCCAGGGGCTTAGACCTGCGCTCGGACTCATCTACCCGTCCAACCGCCACGTGAAAGATACGAAGTGTGAAAGATACAAAGGCAGCAAAATTCAACAGAAATAACTTCACCAAACGACCTAAGGAACAGCCTTTACTGGCCTAGAATGACTAAAGTATTCATATTCATATTCACTTTCATCGCAAGACCACGGCTGATGCCGGTTGTCCCACAACCGCTCTGCTTTACCGCGGCGATCAGCCTAAGGCAGTACAAGAGACATACCCACTCGATTGGGATGAAAACGAGCTGAGCTTTCGTCCTTCATGCAACTCAACGGACATCGGCAGAACTGTAACTCATAATTGCAAAAGCTTCAAGTCGCCATCATGTCAACAACACTATCTGGCCCTATCCTACATGCTGTCAGCATACTCAAAACTAAAAATAAATCCAAATAGACACGGATTGATTGATATTAAATGATTTAGTGACTTCTATTTCATATTATTGACTGCACTTATACTTGAGCGTATGTCTGTTTGTGCTTTCGTATGTTGAAATATGTATGCATGTATGTCGGACTTCGCAATACATTAAAATCTATAGTTGGATAGTTTACTTGACATAGTCTAAACGCAAATGACGCTCAGGTATAAGTAATCTAATTAATATGAAAATAATTAATTAAGCAATTATATATATATATATATTAATTACAAATAACGAAACCATATATATATATAGAATTGGTTTATTAACTTTTTCATATTACTCAAAATGAATAAATATATATATATTCTGATTAATATGAAAATAATTAATCAAGCATTTATATATATATATATATTCATTAAAAATAACGAAACCATTTATATATATATAATTAGTTTATTAACTTTTTCATATTACTCAGAATAAAAATATATATATATTCTGATTAATATGAAAAGAATTAATCGAGCAATGATATATATATATATATATGTATATGTGTGTAGGATAGGGTCGGATAATCTTCTTGACTTGGTGGTAACTTGGAGGTTTTGCAAGGCTGAGTTATATTTATGATGATGCCTGTCGAGGGGAGGGACGGACGAAAGCTCGGCAAATATGCTTCCTCGACACCTCCACCAAAGATGGTGATATGGCAAAATGCCTGGCCTTCCTTGAAATGCACATCTGCGCTGTGGCCAAAGGGCACTCGGGGCAATTTGGCCGAGTGGTTAACGTGTCGAGATTACACGCTGCACTGTCACGGTTGGAATCCCACCGGGGATGTTGATAAGACCAAGACGAGAACAACTTTTGGGAACGCAAGGATATGCGAAATGTAATGACACGTCCGCTCTACTCACATGATTGTGGGAAAATTCACCTCTCGGTCCTTCATCACCTTGAACGAAATTGGATGAATGCCTCTCATGAAAGCTTAGCTCGTTTTCACCCGAAACAAAGAAGGATTTATCGTGGATTGTGTTATGATGAAGCCAGAACGGGGAACCTCTGTCGTCATGTAGCGAGCTCTACCTACGAATCCCACGTTCACACACATTTCTATACGAAATGTAAGTCTTCACACTAAACAATTCATTCTATTTACATCTTGTTAGGGGGACCTTCATTTCGAATGAAAGTACATGAAGAAGAGATTCGTTTTTCGATTTCACCAGATG